ACATTAGATGATAACAGGACAACAAGAGGACTGGCCTTAGAAGATTTAGAGACTAAAGCCCACACAAGTAAAGATTAGCAGAGGTTCGTTGGTTTGAGTAAAAACTGTATCTAAAAATACTGGTTATAATTTTAGAAAATTATTCCTCAATAGAAAACTGAGATGACATTACAGTTAGAGCATTTAAAATGGACTGAGGTGATGTGGGGAAATGTTTAGCGGTCACATTAATCACATTTTGAAATTCTTCTTGGAAACCAGATGTCGTCCGTTCTAAAAAGGCGAGGGAACGTTCAGCCCGTTTCCAGCACACGGTTCAAATGTCTGACTCTCTGATGGTACGGACATCTTACACAACTGGAACGCCACTGTCAATCTATCTTTACCTGCTCGTCTGTTCAGGGCCACGAGGAGCTGTGTAGCAATAAGAAGGATGTGAGATGGAGCAAGAAGGGTGACACTTTCTCCACTCCCCTCCACTACATTTATTTTATTTATTTAGCTCTTGTTAAAGTGGAGCACCAGCTGATCAGTTTATTGACCAACAACAACTTCATTATTATTTATATATTTACCATATTAATATTTTCACCCTTCAATGATCAGAATCAGTCACTGAAGTAGAATCTGTTCATTACAGGGAGTTTTATACCAGAACACATGAATATTCATCTGAATGAAGAGACCAAAGTTGTTTTTAAAGTTTTATTACAAAAATAATCAAACTAAGAATCAACAACAATAATAAACAAACAATAATAATGAATCAATCAAGGCTTAATTCTCTTATCTGAGACTAAATTCACTCTTTGATCAGGAATTATTTCAGTTTTATACGCGCATGAGTTTAGACAAAGTTTGACTATTTTAATAAATAGTTTACTTTGGATTTTGGTTGAAAGAAGTTATTTAATCTGATCAGATAAAGTCATTTATCGTCACTGCAAGCAGGAACTGATTTATCAAGTTGCATCAGCTGAAAATTGCATAACCAGACCAAGGCATCATGTCACCAGGTTCTGCTCCTTACCGGGTCAGTGTTGAAGGTATCACTCGTCTTTCTGGGGTTCTCTGGTGGATCTGACCAGAGACACCATGAGGAGGACTCACCAGGAACTGCCCAAGGAAGCTGACCATCACTGTGACAGCTTCAGGGTCTGTGAGGGAACAGCTGATGAGAAGGTGCACCGTCCGTCGGCACCTTCAGCCGAGAGCGTGAGTCTTGCAGTGAGAAAAGGCTTCATCTTCTGCAGTTATCTAAACTTCTAACAATTGTAATTTGAGCGACATGTTCATCTGCTCAGGAGTTGAACGAGTGGACCTAAGCATGACCTCGAGGATCTGGTCCAAAGACGAACCGTCTTCCGGTTCGGGGCCGGAGACGAACTGCTCGGTTTGAGGGTCCAAGGCGAACTGTTTTTACACAAAGAGACTTTGTACAAAACATGAGCTCTGAGAAGATTGTTTGACGGCCATGGGACCATTGTGGCTCCCTCTGAAGAAAACAGCTTCCAGCTAAAATAACTTTTTCACAGGTGTCTCTGAAGGAACAATCACTTTCTGAACAACAGAGAAATGTGTTGTTCACATTGTAATATGTCACATGATTTCATTATAATGATTGAAAACAACAATCAAAATCATTCATGTTCACACTTGTTAATCAAAGAAAACAAACTTCAATAATGATTCGGTTTTCTTTCTTAGACCCAGGAAGAAACAAGATCAACATCAGTCAGACTGTAGCTGACTCTGTGTCCAAGGACAGGACATGTGGAAAAACATCAGACATTATTGAAGTCAGGGGTAACTTTAAGAAACACGATTCATGGTGAGTCTGGAAGATGAATAAGGGTCAGGGGTCGTAGTTAGAGCAGTGCGGCTTCATGCTACATATTCCCCCACTAGGGTCTTGATGCCAGTCCAGATGGCTATTGAGTCACTACAAACCAAATCCATGAGCCATCAGAAGAAACTTCGATGGGGTCAGCCTTGACACCATGGTAATCAATGTGGACTAAGTCTTGAAGAACAAAGTTAAAAGGTGTCCGATAACACCCTCCCTGGTCAATGAAGAAAAGGAATTATATTCCAAAGAGAATGATTGGTCTTCTGATAAGTTCCAACCAGTCAAAGTCTTGTGCCATCCTTAGTAGCACTGAGGGAAAACAACGATCCAGCAGGCAGAGCAATAGATCCAAAGTGGAAGCACTCGATCCAAAGCGAAACCAAACAAAGGTCCTGTCAGCAAAGCAAACAGGTAGTTGACACCTTAGTGATCCAAGCAGGTGTCAGAATGAAGGTATCCTGTGGTAGGTGCCACCAGTTGGCACCGTGGAATGAAGATGGTGGAGTATTCCCAGTGAATACTCATATCTCGAGGATGATTAGTCTCTTTAGAATGATTTGTTCAATTAGTTTTGTAGAGATCTAGTAGAGTGCTGTATGAATGAGTAGATGAGGACACAGATTGTTGTAAAGAGCTTTGAGTGGCTCGGTAAAATGCAAAGGTGATATACAGTGTATACCATACTATTTTATTCATGGAGCACTTAAAACAGCTACAAGGCCAACCAAAGTGCTGTATTAACAGAACAACAGGTAACACATGAAGCAATATACAAAATGAGGTAAATCAGAATATAGACATAAAAACGATGCAGATGATAAATATGACGGCTAACCAGTGTGGAGCATACAGGTTCACAACACAGATCCTCTGGTGTTGAAAGCCACCGAATAGTAGTGGGTTTTTAAACGGGATTTGAAAACCGAGAGGGAGGGGGCCTGTCTGACAAGCAGAGGTAACTCGTTCCAAAGTCATGGTCCTGCTACAGAGAAGGCCCTGTCACCTCTGCGCTTAAGACGAGTTCTTGGAACTGTGAGGAGCAACTGGTCCGCTGACCTCAGGGAACGTGGTGGGACATACGGTTGTAGCAAATCAGAGAGATTGGGGGGGGGGGGGACTGTTCAGTGATTTGTAGACATACATGAGTAATTTGAACTGGATTCGAAAGTGAACCGGTAACCAGTGTAGTGAGGCCAAAACTGGTGTAATGTGCTCTCTTTTCCCTATACTGGTTAAAAATCGGGCTGCTGCATTCTGGACCAGTTGTAGTCGTGCAACCAGTACACCAGGAGACATGGAGGAGGCTGTAGGAGGACTACAACCCAGCAGCAGGGCTGCTACCTTGTCCTTTGTGCAAGGAGGAACAGGAGGTCCACTGCCAGGGCCCTACAGAATGACCTCCAGCAGGCCACTAATGTGCATGTTTCCACTCAACCTGTCAGAAACAGACTCCATGAGGGTGGTATGAGGGCCAACATCCACATCCCAACACCGTGCAGGACGACTGGCGTTTGCTTGAGAACATTAAAATTGGCAGATTCTCCATTGGCGCCCTGAGCTCTTCATGGATGAAAGCAGGTTCACACTGAGCACATGTGACAGACATGACAGAGTCTGGAGACGTTATGCTGCCTGCAACATCCTCCAGCATGACTGGATTGGTGGTGGGTCAGTCATGGTGTGGGGAGGCAGTTCTTTGGATGTCCACACTGCCCTCCATGTGCTAGCCAGAGGTGCCCTGACTGCCAAAAGGTACTGGGATGAGATCCTCAGACCCATTGTGAGACCATATGCTGGTGCAGTGGGCCCTGGGTTCCTTCTTATGCATGACAATGCCAGGCCTCATGTGGCTGAAGTGTGACAGCAGTTCCTGCATGATGAGGGCATCGATGTTATGGACTGGCCTGCCTGTTCCCCAGACGTTAATCCAACTTAGCACATCATGTTTCAGTCAATCCACCAAGGCCACATGGCACCAGAGACTGTTCAGGAGATAACTGTTGCTCTAATCCAGGTGTGGGAAGAGATCCCTCAGGAGAACATCTGCGTCTCATCAGGAGCATGCCCAGGTGTTGTTGGGAGGTTCTACAGACACGTGGAGGCCACACACACACTGAGCCTCATTTAGTCTTGAGGAAGATTCACTGACGTTGAATCAGCCTGTCCTGTTATTTTCCACTTTCATATTGAATATGAATCTGAATCCAGATCTCCATGGTGTAATAATTTTGATTTATATTGATAATTTTTGTGTTATTTTCTTCTCAGTAAATTCCACTGTGCTAATAATAAAGTGTGTCAAGGAGAATATTTAATTAACTAAGGTCTAGGATGTGTTATTTTAGTGTTCCCTTTAATTTTGTATATATATATATATATATATATATACTGTATATTTATATATGATAAATGGACTGTACTCATATAGCGCCTTTCTATCTTTCAAGATACTCAAAGCTCTTTACAACAATCTGTGCCTTATTTATCCATTCATACAGCTCTATACTAGATCTCAACAAAGATAATTGAACAAATCGTTCTAAAGAGACTAATCAGAGCTTTTAGATCACATTCAGACACTGATGGGACACACATCTGAGGCTATGAGGGGTTCAATGTCTTGCCCAGGGACACTTTGGCATGTGACTGCTGGTGGATTCGAACCACCAACTCTCGCATTGGAGGACGAATGCTCTAACCACTCAGCCACAGCCGCCCCA